TTTTGTGTGCATTCAACACTTAAAAGCCTGAAAGTCTCCAAATTTGATTTGCTCACTGACTCATATTGCTTCCCGATCTAACAATGATTCAAATTAATGTTGCTCATCCTTGCATTCAAATCACTCCATGGAGTCACTGCCCTCTATGACTGTAACTATCTCCAGATCATCAACCCTCTGAAGATTCTGTCTTCTTTGAATCCTGTCATCGTGTACAACTTTGATTTTTTTTATTGGTCACTTAGACCCAAAGTATTGGAATTTCTTCCTCACAACCTCTTCATCTCCTTACCCATCTCTTGGTTAAGATGCTCCTGAAAAAAAATTACATCTACTCCAACTGTATAACTCAGTATTCATTTTACCTGATTGTTCTCCTGTGCACTGTTTTCACAAGCTTCCTATATTTAAAGGCACTATATAAGTATAATTTGTAGCTTAAGCTTGACCTTGACGAGTCTCAAGTGAGTTGTACTAAAGATGGCAACAGTCTTGGTCCCATATCCGGATTGCTATCCATTAAACCCTGCTGGCAATCCATATATCGGAATTCCAATAAGGGCAACTACAGTTGGTTTTGTGGTCAGGAAGAGGAAAATCAATTATATCATTCTCATAAGAAGATGAGAAATTGCCTTCCCCTTGCTCCACAGTTACATTTGTGCCTGGAAGTCCTTGGAGAGGGACTACGTAGCGTCCACCAACACTCTGAATGACTTCAGAGAGAAGTTGGCACTGCAGGGGTTGGAGAGCCTTGCCTCTCCTTCCAACTCCATTTTGACTTAATACTCTCCCTCTCTCACTACGTTTTGCTCACCTTGGTGTCATTGCACTGCCCTTAACAGGCTCTTTGTGTAATTTGGATATTAATCAGAAATACGATAATTTGGTGGTGGATACCATGTGAAAAGTAATATGTGTGATTTGATGTTGGGAAAAAAATGTTGAGTTGTGTGTGAAAGCACTTCTGGATGTAAGATATGAAAAAGAAAGGAAAAGTAGGGAAAAAGGATGAGAAATCTGAGTGAGAGCAGACCATTTGTCCTTTTGAGCCTGATCTCCATGGCTCATCTTCAACTTCAATTGTATTTTCAATCCAGCTTCACTGTTCCGCTTGCCCCCGATTTCCTGGGATTACCAAATTCTGTCTGTTTCATGTACTCAGTAATGAAGTGTCCACAGTCTCTGGGGTGGACAGTTTCAAAGATTCACTGCCAGAAATTCTTGTAGTGGGCAATTCAAGGCTAGATGAAGTCAAAATTGGTCTCAACTTACATGTTCAGTAGCCAATTACCAGTTCACCAAGACTATCCACGTTTGACCACAGCACAAAATAATTCCCAGTGCTTATGGTTCTGTACTTCAGAAAAAGCAGGGTGTTGCTTCGTTCAGTTGGCTGAATGACTGGCAATGCAGAGTAATGCCAACCCCGAGGGTTTAATTCCTGCACTGGCTGAGGTTATTGTGAAGGACTTCCCTTCTCAACCTCACCTGAACATGGTGACCCCCAGGTTAGGCCACCACCAATCGTCTCTTGCTAATGGGAGAGCAGCCCTATGGTTAAATCAGACTATGACGACTTTATCTGTACTTCAGAAAGGGACTATTTCTTCAGGAGATTTGGTAGCAAGCAGAGGGAGCTAAACATGTGGCTAGAATGTATGGTTTAAATGCCGCAAAAGGCCCAGGTGGCCCAGGACAGAGTACAACGAAATTCTTTATTAATACTGACAGCAGAATGTACCCATTGTTTCATTAGGAACAGTTCTGTCCTTCCTGTGAAACAAATCTTACATGACACTGGCCTACCTGAATGTTTTGTTGAGCTTCATAAAGTATTTGATGACAATTTACATGTTTTTTTTTAATCTGATGTCCAATACAATTGTGTGGTTTCTGCTACACTGAGTCAGATTAGCGCTCCAGAAAATGAAATATTATTCTGCTATTTAACTTCCAAAATGTCAAAGCTGCTCCACCTTATAAATTGATGTGTCAATATGAAGCATGGATTCATCAAATCACAAAGGAGTTGCCTACCTGGTTCTGGCCTGTTTCTGTGGTTATTAGTCATGTAGCTAATGCCAAAGTTGACAATTACTTTTCTGTTTTGATTAATTAGCCAATTTAGAAGATGATACAATGACATTGAGATTAACAAATTGAAAGGACCTGTTTGTTTCAAGTCCTTTTTTTCAGAATGCAAATATGCATTAATGGGATTTCGGTGTTTCTGGCAAAGCAAGCATTTATGAACCAATTCCTGATTGCTCTCGAGGAGATGTTGTTGAGATACTTCCTTGAACTGAGATACATCACAGTGTTGTGAAATCACAAGTTCCACGATCTTGATGGAGGATTGGCGATATATTTCCAGATCACGAGGCTGACTGATAAGGAGAGGGATGTGCAGCTGCTGATGTGCCTGTGTTGGCTTCATTCTTTTTTAAAGTAGTAGATGTCATAGATTTGGAAGGTTATGTTAGCACAGTTGTGAGTTTTACATCTCATTCTGGATTTAGCTCAAAACAAAACTAAACCAGTAAGGCAGCCGGAGATGTTTGCATGTAGTAAAGCAGGATGCTTTTTTAAGAAAGTTGAGAGACACTTAACCAAAGAAACAACCTGACAGTTTGTTAGACCTTGGCCAATCTTGTTATTTATTCACAAGCTATGGCTAGACTAACATTTATATCCTATCCTTACTTCCCCTTGAGAAGGTGATGGTGTGCTTTATTATTGAATGACTGCAATCCTTGATTTGTACGGATACCCACAGTGCTGTTAGGAAGGAAATTCCAGGATTTTGACCCAACAACACTAAAGGAATGATAATATAGTTTAAAGTTAGAATAGTGTGTGTCTTGAGGGGGAGAACACTTACAGGTGAAGATGTTCCCATGCGTCTGCTGTCATTGTCTTTCTAGATGGCAGCTGGTGTGGGTTTGGAAGGTAATATTAAAGGGGCCTGGGTGAGTTACTGCAGTGCATCTTGCAGATGGTACATACATTATCATCGTGTGTTGATGGTGAAGGGAGTTTTTAGTTGAGGGTGGTGGATGAGGTGCCAATTGACTGGGATGCTTTGGATGGTTTTGAGCCTCTTGAATGTTATTGAAAAGTTATTCCAGTACTTTTTCAATTTGTGTCAAGTAGTTTGGATATAGGAAGCAAGTTACTCACTGCAAAATTCCTAGCCTCTGATATGCTCTTTAGCTAACGTATTTATATTACTGGCCCAGTTTAGTTTTAATCAGTGTTAACCCCAGGATTTTGGTGTGGGATTCCGTGATAATGATGCTTTTGACTGTCAAGGGGTGATGACTAGATTCCCTCTATTTGTAGATGGTCATTGCCTGGAAGTTGGGTTGCATGAATGTCACTTACCACTTATCAGCCTATACCTGGATGTTGCCCAGGCCTTCCAGCTATGGATACAGACTGCTTCAGTATCTGAGGAGTTGTGAAGGAAACTAATCATTGTACAATCACCAGCAAACATTTCCATTTCTGACTTTACTGAATGGAGGAAAGGTCATTGAAGAAGCAGCTGAAGATGGTTGAGCCTGGAAAACTGCCCTAAGGTATGCCTGCAGATGTGCTAGAGCTAAAATGATAATAACCACAATCATTTTCTTTTGTGTAAAGTATAACTCCAACAGCAGAATTTTTTCCCCCTGATTCCCATTGACTCCAGTTTTACTAGGGCTGCTTGATGCCTCTTTTGGTTCAATGCAGATTTGCTGCCTGTCAAATAGACCCTCTGGAGTTCAGCTCTTTTGGAACCAGGCTGTAATGAGGCCAGGAGCTGAGTGGCCCTGATGAAACCTGAACTGAGTGTCAATGAGCATGTTGTTTCTGAGTAAATGCTATTTGAAAACACTGTTGATGATCACTTCAATCAATTTACTGATGAATAAGAGTAGACAGTACATTAATTAGTCAGAGATAACAAGGTGTAGAGCTGGATGAACACAGCAGGCCA